CAGGTCAGACACAAAAAGGACCGAGTCATCGTGAATTCACACTCTCTGCCAGGATTTTTTGCCAATAGTTGTTTTAATCACACAATAATGTATGTTAAGGAACAAAGAACTTTTGAAGGAATAGATGAATTTAGGACCTGTTTGCTACAGAAACTGTTCTTACTTATCTTTACACAATTATTAATCTGATGCTTAAATTCTAAATTAAATAGACATATACTAAATTTTGGCTCCTCGTATATTAATATGAGAGCAGTTCTTTGATCTCGACATTTTTGAGAAGTAGCAAGGCATTTGATCTCACAGGATCTATTGTCATGAATCAATGCGTTCTTTATCAATCAATGACTAGCAGTCGTCTGCGGTGCAACGCCGCATCGGATTTATACTAGTCTACTATACCAGTATACGGTTTTAATACTTGAGCCTAAATGTTCCTTTAAAGATCTTAGTTCAAGATACTGATCTTTACGTAGCTCACTTTAGCCGCCAACACATATTTCCTGGTATTACCCATCTTCTATATTTCAAGAATTTTCCTGTATAAATCACTCCCCGACCTTTCCAGTGAGGTGTTTTATCCGTTTGATTATCTAATAATACATTGTATAATTAGCACGGGAATAACTTTCTTAGTTCAAAACGGTATTTGAAAATATTGTGTGTGGACGTATCTTCTCCACTTGAAAAGTCAAATTCAGAAATCAATCTTGCATACACAACTAATCATGAAACGGCATGAGTAATACCTACGCTTTTCTAATTATTTTCATCAAACTAAGTGAAGGTAAAATATTCCATTACACATTCAAGACACAGGTACATGTCCTGAGAGTGGTAATCTCTTTCTTATTTCATAGCATTCTACGTTGGAAAGTGGAAAGCTAAGTAACTATGAACTAAGAAACTACATAAGATACTGACCATTTATGCTTCATACATCTATTGAAATAGAGCTGCGATTTCGGGTACCAGATATATCCCTGTTGTAAGTCGGGATTTTTTTTCCCAATGATACAGATAATTATTCATCAATTTCCCACGGCAATATATTAGTATTTTATTATAAACTATATAAAAGATCTAGAACACATACAACTCTAATTTACTGGGTGTTACAATTCCTATGTCACACAGTATATTCTTGCCTTGCCTACAAGCAGGCATTGTATTCAGAAATATGTATTGCAATTCATTTAGCCCCTCATTATTCAGGGTCCACATCATCAATTAGATCAGATCAGCTCATCAAAACTCGAGATTATAAACAACAAACATCTTATTATTTACTTAAACCAAAAATCCATTTAGAAGCATTCAATATATACTCACAATCATTTCTCCCCCCACAATAATAACCAAAACATGCTCACACATCGCCTTCTTAACAAGCCTCTTTAATTCTATTACAACGTACTTCCTCTCCGGTTCCCATTATCACTACCAAGTAATAAAATAGATTGATGATAGCGCTATTCTCAGAGTTTATGTTGCTCGCTTGTATCTCAGATAGAACCCCCTTATACTTAATTTTCCTACCATTCACTATTAAATTCGAATGTAAACAACTATGTAACATTTTGGCATAAAGTTACACGAGTTTTTCGAAGTAAGAACCCTTCAGAAAAAATGAAAATTATAAAAAAAAAGAAATTGAAAATTATTTACATTTCCTTTTGTGCTATTTAAAAACAGAGGCGAATAAACCCTGCATGTGCTTATGCATCATAATTTAATAGTTGTTCAGCTTCATATTAATGTCAACGTATGAGACAACCATCTTTCACAGATATCTATGCCATATTTGTCCAAGTATCTATTTCACCCCGGTTTTGTACGTACCACTTCTGAAACTTATACAATTACCCCACACTACACTGTATCAAAATGCGAAATGGAATGTCAGTCAGCCAGATTGCTGACCAGGGGACTGACCAGTTTGAGGATGGTAAGAGAAGGTCCTTGTGTTGGGGAAGAACCCATTTACGTGCCAAGCCTTATGAGGTTATTATATTGTGGGGTTTTCTTGGAGTTAGATGATGTTATCCCGTTGAAAGTTTAACGATTGAAGTAGAGATTGTAGTTTGGTATTTTAATAAATGATTGTGATGTGATAAAAACAAGTTTGATTTATGAACGACCTTATAGTTTTATTACTAAAAAAATAAATTTAATTTAGAAAAAAAAATTTTATGAATGTCTCAAAAAGCCCTATTTTCCATACATTTGCAATATTTCATGAATGTTTCAAAAAGCCATATTTTCCATACATTTGCAATATTTCATGAATGTTTCAAAAAGCCATATTTTCCATACCTATGTACATATGCAATATTTTATGAATGTCTCAAAAAGCCATATTTTCCATACATATGCAATATTTTATGAATGTTTCAAAAATCCATATTTTCCATACATTTTCAATATTTCATGAATGTCTCAAAAAGCCCTATTTTCCATACATTTGCAATATTTCATGAATGTGTCAAAAAGCCCTATTTTCCATACATTTGCAATATTTCATGAATGTCTCAAATAGCCATATTTTCCACACATATATAATATTTTTTGAATGTCTCAAAAAGCCATATTTTCTAGACATTTGTAATATTTCAGAAATGTGCGTATTTTAAACCTGCAATATTTCATGTATGTTGCAAGAAGCAATATTTTCCATACATTTGCAATATTTCATGTATGTCTCAAAATGCCATATTTTCCATACATTTGTAATAGTTCAGTATTCAACGTATATTGCATAAACATTTTTACTCTGCAATATTTTATAAATTTTGCAAAAATCCATTTTTTCCATACATTTAAAATATTGCATGAATGTTGCAAAAAGCCATATTTTCAATACATTTGCAATAGTTCAGTATTCAACGTATATTGCATAAACATTTTTACTCTGCAATATTTTATAAATTTTACAAAAATCCATTTTTTCCATACATTTACAATATTGCTTGAATGTTGCAAAAAACCATACTTCCCGTACAATTGCAATATTTCAGCATAATAAACATTGCTATAGTAAATTTAACTCATCTTAATACGACATTTTCTTTTTTTATTCAGACACGGCTTTACACTTTTAAAATAAGGTGAAATAGTACTGCAACATTGAAAAAAAACGGCGCCACGGTAGCCTTTGAAATGAGACAATCGTTGATAATCTCAATCAGGTCGAAATTAAATATAAACTTTTGACAGATTTTTTATGTAATTTTTTAATAAATCACAGATGAGCGGTCGGTCGGTTCGACAGGAATTGTCATCTATTGTCATTTCAAAGACCACTGTGACAGCGTGTTTTGTTTTTTGAGTATATGGTGTTTTGCAAAAATTCAAAAATAATAATTAAAAGTTATTAGTAATATTTTACAGTAAATTTTTATAATTTCTTAATTGTTTTTATTCTTAATAAATTTATTTTTTACCAATTACAACGTACATATATTTTTTAATATAGGTTTTTTTCGATATTACCCTCTAAAAACAACCATTTATACAGGATAAAGTGGAGGAAAAAATATTAATGTATTAGGAATGTCCGCCGATATCGATATATAAAATATATCGATACTTCCGTATCGATATATTACATATATCGATATTCGCGAAAATATTAAATAAAACCTAAAAATAAAATAATTACATCCTTTTTAAATCTTTTATTTTTTAATAATTATGAATTTAGTTATAACCGACGTTTAAAAAATTCAACAACCTCAAAAAAAGTTCGGTTAAATTTTTTCAAAGCCAGCCATAATCAAAATATAAATACATAAAAAATAACATAATAATATACCTTAACATGTAGCAAATATATATATATAGATTTATTAAAAGTAAAAAAGAAATACTTTTTCTTGTAAAAACTTAAAAATTTATCTCTTGTTAACACTTTATTTTAGTAAAAATGCAGCGAAAAAGTTTTTTTCCTTATTAAGGGAATCATTGAAAAAGCTTGGAAATAATAAAAAAGGGGAAAAATTAGGCAGCTAATTCCACCGGGTTTACGTTATAAAGAGGAAGAACTTGTAACTATATACAAGGCGACATGAAATATTTTTTTCATCACAATTATGTTAATAATAAAGTTATCAAAATGTTTATATATTATATGTGTATATAAATTTTCGTTTTTTTAATATTATTTTTTGATTTTTAAGTAGCTATGAACAGTGCAGTTCTAACAAACTTATATATTTGTTTGTTATAAAAATTAAGAAATGTTTAAAACATGCGCATATAATTTTTTTAAGTAAGATTTTATCTTAAAAATATAGTCAAAGCTATCACCACACAGCTTATCTTTTATTTTTATTTATAAAACATTTTTTTGCCATATATTTTATAAACATACAGTAGAACACAAAGAGCAACTGTTAAATTTTGTATTTCAATGTTAGTAATTTAAAATTAAAACATTGGGAATATCACGCTGAATGTAAAATTGTGATTTAAAACGCCAGAAAATATTTTTTTTCTGATCTCTAAAACGATTTTTTTCTGATCTCTACAGTTAGATTTTATATTTCAATTAATATCAGCGCAGAGTACAAAGAACCTATATTTTTTTCTGAGCAACTGAAAAGAACTTTAATTAAAGAACTTATATTATATTTCTAAAGCTTCAAGAAAGTAGGTATGGTATACATTTTAACCTACAGAATTGAGAGTCCTACAGAATTAGCGTATATATTTTTTTCTGAGCATCAACAATCACCATTTATTTAGGTATTGGACATTTATTTTTACAGTTTGAAGAAACTGCCGTGTTTTTTTCGATATAAAATTAAAATGAATAAAGATTTTTTCTGATCCATGACATCAGAAAAAATCTTTATTCATCTGAGCCAGAGAATAAAACTAACGTAGATCAGAATATATATTATTTTTTCTGAGCGTCAATTAGGATACTTCTTTAATTTTCTTGATTCACGAAGCCCTATTAAGAAAAGATGAGCTATAACTGTTGTAGTTTTTTTTTCAATATAAAACTGTCGAGAACCAGAAAAAACTGCACCAATCACCAGAGATCGATTTTATTCACAGAGAAAGTCTAAAGAAACCGCAGTTTAATTTTTGGTATAAAACTGACGTAGATTATAATTTTTTCTGAGCAATACTTAAAATCATTTCTTGAGCTAATGACTTTTTGTCAGAGACAACCTAAACAAAAATGATAAACTTCCCTATAAAACAAAGGTAGATCAGAATTTTTTTTTCTTTTTCTGAGCATCAATTATCAATAGTTCTTAAGTTATAGCAGATTTATTCTCGTGTTTTCAAAGCCTGCGGGAATATAATACTTATAATTGAGATGTTAAAGAATCAGAAAAAGGTTTTTTCTGAGTATCAACTACCAGAATTTTTTAAGTTACGGCAGATTGATCTCCGTTGTCAAAGTTTAAGAAAATGTACCTAAAAAAAATTGTTAAAGGATCAGAAAAAAATATTTTTTTTTCTGAGCATCAATTACCAGTATTTCTTAAGTTACGGTAGACTGATTCTTTTGGTGTCAAAGTCTGACAAAAATGTAGTGCTCAAAATAACGATGTTGGAGGATCAGAAAAAAATTCTTTTAAGATACTAAAAATGTTACTTTGTGTCAGAAAAAGTTCGATAAAAGAAAAACGTGTCGTAATAGCCACGCTGCACCATTATTAAGCCGTTAAAAATTATATATTTATGGTTTTAGTAGTATTTTAAGGTCTAATGCGACTGGTGAACAACGAACGAACGTACAAACGAAAAAAAAACTATAAACGAAAAGAAATATCTTTACGAGTCTAGGATGGGGATGGAGGTGGTGTAGACCGGCGTTTCCAATTCTATCCTGGCGGTGGTCCTCAGGCCCAGCTGGTTCTTGATGTGGCTGATGATGTCCTGGTCGGCGGGACAGCTCTGTCTGAACGCCTCCAGCTCGTACATGTTCTCCATATACCTAGAGGTCAGAAATATTACGATTTTTTTACCTTTACAGAGAGCGTTGCTTATGTAAAGTGAAATATCTTCAGAGGATTTATCTTGAACATTTTCACAACAGTAATAGACCGAGCTTGAGAACAGCGCAGTCGTTATCGGTAAAATACTTGCGTGATTTTATTAAATTTTATTGTGTTCTCATTTACGTGGAAAACGGATTCCTCAGTAGCTACAGAATGGATCGACGCAGATTTTATTGTCTTGTTTGTAAAATGAAACTTCTACACCCTGTATCTCCGAAACTAAGCATTTTAGGACATACATTTATAAGAACTTTTTACTTATTTTTAGTTGCAGAATATGCTGCTGAAGTTTCCTGACACCCTGTATAGAGTTTTACCGACAATATTTTATACACACTGAAATTTTAAATTTATTAATTTCTCGCTTTGTATTCCAATTGCACTAACCTTATAAATAAAATTAAACTATCTTAGAATTAAAATGATAGACACATCTCTCGCTGTCGTGGATTCTCTAGTTGGACAAACAATACATACCTCCATAATCCTTGGAATCTGGTCGGGATTTCAAACTTTCTAAAAGCTTTAGCTCCAATCCTGATGTGTTGCAATCTTGGCATCAGTTCACAGTCAAAACATGACATTGTATCACCTAAAATATAGTCATTTTGCTTAAAGATTATTTTTTGGAAATAAAATATATATTTGGAGTAAACGAGTGTCTTTTTGCGATAAAATGATGTTAAAAAAACATTGCATTTTTTAAAAATTTTTCTCTATATTTACCTGTGAGGAAACGGGTGCCTCTCTTGACCAGGAAATCGTTGATCCTCTCCAAATGGGAGAACAGTGGTTGACTGGCCTCTTTCGTATCGGCAGATTCGTATTTGGTAACGTACATTTTGAACTTGGTGTAAAGGTTTTCGATTAAAGTTGCCACTTCTTTATCCTAGAAAAGGAATAATGTTATTTCACAGAGCATAGCACGCCTATCAAAAGAAAAGATTCACATTTCCTCCCGCAAAACCGGTCTACATCAGTAGATCATTTTTTTCTGAGCATTATTGGAGATTGATTCATACTGTTTATTTTTCAATATAACACTCCTGGCGTGGATCAGAAAAAATAGTTTTTTCTGCGCTCATATCCTTTATTACAATGTTTTTCTGAGCATTAATAATTTCTTTACCATTTTGTTTTGGATGAAAAATGAAGAAAATAAAGAATATTCACATTTCCTCCCACAAAACCGGTCTACATCAGTAGATCATTTTTTCTGAGCATTATTGGAGACTGATTCATATTGTTTATTTTTCAATATAACACCCCTGGCGTGGATCAGAAAAAATAGTTTTTTTCTGAGTTCGTATCCTTTATTACAATGCTTTTCTGAGCATTAATAATTTCTTTACGATTTTGTTTTGAATAAAGAAGAAAATAAAGAAGATTCACCTTTCCTCCCACAAAACCGGTCTACATCAGTAGATCATTTTTTTCTGAGCATTATTGGAGATTGATTCATATTGTTTATTTTTCAATATAACACCCCTGGCGTGGATCAGAAAAAACATATTTATTTTCTGAGTTCATGCCCTTTACAATGTTTTTCTGAACATTAATAATTTCTTTCCGATTTTGTTTTGGATAAAGAATGAAGAAGAAAATAAAGAAGATTCACATTTCCTCCCGCAAAACCGGTCTACATTAGTAGATCATCTTTTTCTGAGCATTATTGAAGATTAATTCATATTGCTTATTTTTCAATATAACACCCTTGCGTGGATCAGAAATTTTTATTTTCTGAATTCATATACTTTATTACAATGTTTTTCTGAGCATTAATAATTTCTTTACGATTTTGTTTTGAATTAAAAATGAAGAAAATAAAGAATACTCACATTTCCTCCCACAAAACCGGTCTACATCAGTAGATCGTTTTTTCTGAGCATTATTGGAGACTGATTCATATTTTTTATTTTTCAATATAACACTCCTGGCGTGGATCAGAAAAAATAGTTTTTTTCTGAGTTCGTATCCTTTATTACAATGCTTTTCTGAGCATTAATGATGTCTTTACGATTTTGTTTTGAATAAAGAATAAAGAAGAAAATAAAGAAGATTCACCTTTCCACCCACAAAACCGGTCTACATCAGTAGATCATTTTTTTCTGAGCATTATTGGAGATTGATTCACATTGTTTATTTTTCAATATAACACCCCTGGCGTGGACCAGAAAAAAAATATTTATTTTCTGATTTCATACACTTTACAATGTTTTTCTGAACATTAATAATTTCTTTCCGATTGTGTTTTGGATAAAGAATGAAGAAGAAAATAAAGAAGATTCACATTTCCTCCCGCAAAACCGGTCTACATTAGTAGATCATTTTCTGAGCATTATTGAAGATTAATTCATATTGCTTATTTTTCAATATAACACCCCTGGCGTGGATCAGAAATTTTTATTTTCTGAATTCATATCCTTTATTACAATGTTTTTCTGAGCATTAATAATTTCTTTACGATTTTGTTTTGGATAAAGAATGAAGAAGAAAATAAAGAAGATTCACATTTCCTCCCACAAAACCGGTCTATATCAGTAGATCATTTTTTCTGAGCATTATTGGAGATTGATTCATATTGTTTATTTTTCAATATAACACCCATGGCGTGTATTAGAAAAAATATTTTTTTCTGCGCTCATATCCTTTATGCAATGTTTTTCTGAGCATTAATAATTTCTTTACGATTTTGTTTTGGATGAAAAATGAAGAAGAAAATAAAGAATATTCACATTTCCTCCCTCAAAACCGGTCTACATCAGTAGATCATTTTTTCTGAGCATTATTGGAGATTGATTCATATTGTTTATTTTTCAATATAACACCCCTGGCGTGGATCAGAAAAAATATATTTTTTTCTGAGTTCATATCCTTTATTACAATGTTCTATTATCTACTTACATATCTATATTACAAATTCTCTGAGCACAAATAATTTCTTTACGATTTTGTTTTAAATAAAGAATGAAGAAAATTAAGAAGATTCACATTTCCTCACACTAAACCAAATGCTTATTTTTCAATATGACCCTGGCGTGGATTAGAAAAAATATTTTTTTTTTCTGAGCTCAAATCCTTTATTACAGTTTTTTTTCTAAGCATTATTGAAGATTGATTCATATTGCTTACTTTTCAATATAACCCTGGCGTGGATCAGAAAAAATATATTTTTTTCTGTGCTCAAATCCTTTGTTACAATTTTTTTCTGAGCATAATAATTTCTTTACGATTTTGTTTTGGATAAAAAAGGAAAATAAAGAAGAAACTGCGGTATACTTTTTGTTATTGAATTTTTTTCCTGAGTGCTGAAGTAATTATTTACCTGTACAAATAAGTTATGTC